TTAGTAAACCAGGTATTACTGTACAAATAATACCCAGAATACCGAATCTCGTTCGATGGGGTAATGGCAAAACAGCTCCAGTACTAGTCGTCGTTACAGTTCTATAATTCGACTTGTTTTGTGACTGAGTAAATAAATATAACAAAGCCTTTTTCAATATTCGAGTGCTAATCATTTTGTCGACTTGACAAGCTAGGCTAACTACAACAGTAAAATCAGCTGCAGAGATTGTATTTATGTTACACTGTGCTTTATATATAGTCTTTTAATATATAATACGATCATATTTAATAGTTAATATAATTATTATAAATTTATCCTGGTTCACTTATAACGAAAATTCGATAATTATCGAACTGCTTTGATTTGTATATTCATGATAAAAATAAATAATATTGCTTATTCACTTTGTTATTCTACAGTTTTTAGTTTAAAATAATATTAGTATTGAATATAAATAAACAATAGTTCAGTTAACGTCTCTTTCATTCTTATCATTTTTTTTTTTTTTGGACTAACATATATCTATCCACACCTGTCAATTATGATTGACAATCAGCAGATGTGCTGGCTTAGTAATGAGAGAAAAAAAAAAATAATAATAAATAAATAAAAAGGCTTGATAGGCATGAGGAATAGCAATACCCAGCGGTATCCCTTCCATGGCTTTTACTTATTATAACATTATTTCAGCAGATCCCTCATCCAGACCCTTTTCAGTCGTCTTCTGGAGTTCTCGGGCATACTAGTTGTGGCCATTTCTTTTACCAGCTGGTTGGAGTGTCCGTTTAACATGTTATGAAATCGTTTGTAGTACGTTCGTATGTGTTCGTTAACTGTCGGAACGTGTAAGTCAGTGTGTAAAGTGTGGTTGTTTACGTACCATGGTGCTTGAGTGATTAGTCGTAGTATCTTAGACTGAAAAGTTTGAAGTTTTTTTATGTGAGTTGGTTTTGCAATTCCGTATATTTGTAGTCCGTAAGTCCAAAGAGGTTTTAAAAGATATGTGTAAATACTTAGTTTCTGTCTTGCTTTTAATTTGGAATGTCGTCTTAACAGTGAATGTAACAATTTTAGTCTTAGATTTAATGTGATTCGTTTTTTCTTCACATGTGGACCCCATGTCATTCTCCTATCGAACGTAAGGCCTAAGTATTGTACTCTGTCTGTTTGTGGAATTGGTACATTGTCTATGTATACAGGAGGGCATGTTTCTGGTCTTAGAGTAAATGTGATGTGCTGTGACTTTTGATAATTTATTTGAGTTTTCCAAAGTTTACACCAATCGAGTATAATCTGTAAGTGATGTTGTAAGTTAAGGGATGCTTCTGTAGGATTGTCGTGCCTGGTAATGATAGCAGTGTCGTCTGCGTAGGTTGCTGTAAGAGTGTGGATACTTTGAGGAATGTCGTGTGTATATGTGATGTACAGTAGTGGGGCAAGGATTGATCCCTGAGGTACGCCAGCTAAAACTGATCGAATTGAGGATAGACCTTGACCATGTCGAACGGAGAAAAATCTATCTGAGAGAAAGGAATGGAGAATTAAGTAGTAAGTATGTGGAAGTATGGTCTTAAGCTTGAAGAGAAGCCCCTGATGCCATACTTTGTCAAACGCTTGGGCGACATCCAGAAATACTCCGGTTGCATATAGTTTTCGCTCTAGTGCTGTCGATATGTAGTCAGTTACCCTGTGTAATTGTTGTGTTGTTGAATGTAATTTTCTAAACCCGAATTGATGGTCAGGAATAATCTGTCTGTCTGTTAGTATATGTAATAGTCGTGGGTACAACAGTTTTTCGAATAACTTAGAACATACTGGAAGTAAACTAATCGGTCGATATGAAGAAGGATTGTTAGTGTCTTTGTCTGGCTTTTTAATCATGGTTATGTGTGAGTATTTCCATTGTATAGGAAATTTGGTGGTCCTGAGAATGCAATTGAAGATTGTGGTAAGAAACACTAGAGCTTTCCTTGGCATTTGCTGGAGCGCCTCAGCAGTTATCAAGTCATGACCAGGGGTTTTTCTTTTGGGCAATTGTCTAATTTCTTGTGCAACTTGTGATGGTGTGAAAGGAGGTGGTGGTAGTGTGAGCTGTAACGGTATGTCTAAGTTATTATGTACAAAAATATCGTGTTCTGTATTAATTAAGTCTGTATGTGGTTTGAAAACAGTGGAAAGGTGGTTAGCAAAGAGTTCAGATCTTTCCTCGTCCGAAACAGCCCAAGAACCATCCTCTCTTCGTAGGGGTGCTGACACCTCACGATGCTTTAAAAGATTCCTTGTATGTCTCCATAAACTTCCATCGTCCGTCGAAAGGTTGTTAATAAAATTGTCGTAGTTTGTGCTTTTGAATTTTTGAATATGTCTTTTGAGTTCGTTGTTCAATCTGTTAAAAGTTTGTCTGTCTGAAGGAAGTCTATTAGTCTGCCATACTTTACGTGCTTTTCTCTTTGCTCTGATCAAGTCCCTTATGTACATAGGATAATGGGGCAAGTTCGCTGCTTTTTGTGGCCTGGATGTTGATGAGGCCCATGCTGCATCTTGTATGCTTTTTGTGAATTTTTCAACAGCTTCTTCTAATTCTTCATGATTTTTAATTGAACCTGGAACAGAAAGATTGGTGTTCAAATGGTCTCTATATGCGTCCCAGTCCATGCAGCCTTTTATGAGCCTATGTCTTTTTTCTGCTTCGGAAGGCGCGTCGAAGAGAACCATGTGCACTGAGGAGTGATCAGAACAAAGATCAGAGCTTGTATTGACGGCAAATGGTACGGTTCTTAGTCCTTTTGTTATAAAGAAATCAAGTAAGTCAGGAGTTTTGCGTCTGGAGGTGGGCCAATAAGTTGGTGAATTTGGAGTTACAGTGTCTAATGAAAGTTCATGGAGAACAGACCAGAGATTTCTGCCTCTTGGAGTAGACAACCTTGAACCCCAGCCTTGATGCTTAGCATTATAGTCTCCACCTGCGATGAAGCATCTTCCGAGGCGTTTGAAGAACTCAGAAAACATCGTGGGTGTAAGCTTGTACCTAGGGGGACAGTAAACTGAGGCAAATGTTATAGTGTAGTGTTTAGTGTATAGTGTTATTCCTGTCGATTGGATGTCGGGTGTAATGGGTAAATCTACGGGATTGTGTTTCAGTGAATTTTTAACGAGTATAGCTGTTCCTCCATGTGCGGTTTTATCTGGGTGATCAGTTCTATAAATTGTGTAATCCTGAATGTAAATTTTTGATCGAGATGTCAGGTGTGTTTCTGTAATGAGTGCTACGTCGATCCGTTTTTCGTGCAAGTATAAGTCGAGTTCAGTACTGTGCTGTTTCAGTCCGTTGGCATTCCATAGAAGAACTGACAAGGAGCCTACAGTTAAATTATTGTGGGCCATAATTTGGGCACCAGACCTGTGTAACCTGTGACAGTTGTTGAAGAAGAATGAAAAGGGGCTGGATTAGGTTATTTAATCCATTAATTATATTAAATAATTGGGAAGAGCCATTATCTACCGGAGGTATCGGTTGGGTAATGCCTCTCCTCGTACCTGTACATGTTGTCTGGTTCGGGGGTGCTGAACTAGATGATGTTTGATTTTGTTGTTGCGGAGGTCCTGCGATGATCTGTGGTTCCCCTTGGTTGTGACGTTGCCGCATTGGGGGGAATTCATGCATGCCTGGAGGTCCCTGCGCTGGCTCTGCTACTGTGGAACGCTGAAGACGATTTCTTGCATTGCGCTGAACCCTGAGGTCTTTCAGCGTCTGGCAACCTCTGTAATTAGCGGGGTGCTGACCGGCACAGTTGGCGCATTTCGCGGGAGTGTCTCTGGTTTTCAAACATGAGCTGGTTTCATGATATTCACCACACTTTACGCATCGTGGTCGATGGTTGCAATAAGTTTTAGTGTGCCCATATTGCTGGCACCGAACACACTGAGGAATATTTCTCTTTTGACGCGGTTCCTCAATTTTAATATGTGAATAATATAGAAATTCAACATTAAAAATTTCTTCTCTAAATGTCTCTTTTGTAATGTCCACAAAGAACATAGGAAGGGGTTTTTTAAATCGAGATATGACGTTAACTACATTGGTGGCTTCGTAACCCAATTTTTTAAATTCTTCTTTAATGATATCGACTGGTGTTCCATGGTGAAGATGTTTAACAACAATCCTTGGACATTTGTCCTGTGGAAGTTGGTAAGTATGGAAGTCGGCACCTTTATTTCGCAGGCTAGAATTTAATTTTCGATAAACGTCAGGATTTTCTGGGTACACAGTGACACCTTTCAATGTAGACTTCGTTTTAAACATATTAGAACCCGTTTCGTTTTCTAGAAATGAGATTAATGCATGGTAATTCTCAACACCGTTTATAAAAATTGGTGGAGTTTTATCGTTTTGAGGCGTTCTTCTAACTTCTTCTGTTTGTAAATTAGTTATGTTGGTTAGAACCTGAAAACTGTTCGAGGTTGGGATAGATTCTGTCGGTCGTTTTTGAGCTCTTGGCTCGCTCGAATCTATCATAGGTCTTTTACGACCAATAACCAGTTCCCAGGAGCCGTCTTCATTGTTTATATCACTGTTTTTAAAGTTCATGTTACTTACCTCAGTTTGAGATGATTCCACCATTGTTGGCGGTGAAATCAGCTCAATTTTTGTTTGGTGTTTTGTCCTTAGCAATCTTGTCTTGATAAAACACTTTTATTACACAAAAATTAAGTATGTACACTTAATTAACACATTTTTTGGAAGACAAAACTAAATTAACCTTTCACCTTATTTAACATCAACAGCTGTTGCCGGCTAAACTTAATTCCATTTTTTGGTTAACTGACCAAAACAATGGTTAAATTATTTTATTAGTTAATAGTTCACTAGGAATATTATCAGGTCCTGCTACTTTGTAAGATTTACATTTTCTCATTCTTATCATAATTCAGTTTAGTGCTTTTGAAAAAAATTATTGGCAGCCAATGAGAATCGTTCAGTAGAAAGATAAGTGAGCACATGTGCAGTCGGGGTTTGTCTGGGATTTCAGTTTCTCTTCCGAAAATTTTGTGTCTAGTGCGTGCTTATTATGGCAAATGAAGTTACTCAAAGTAAAGAGGAGCACAATGAAGGAAAAAATAACAGTAAGTGAAATTATGTTCTCAATGTCAGTTATTAAATAGTATTTTTAATTTTAACTGGAACTTATTACCCCTCAAATCTATAACCTTGATATGATATAACCGGTAGATAATACTTAACAATTTTTATTCTTTGGCGGTTTTATTAGGTTATTGGTTCTCATTTGTTTTTTTATAATAAATTAATAATTAATTGGTATTTCAAAAACTATTTATTATGGTTTCTATTTATTATATGGTGCCTTTCGCTAGAAAGTTCATAATTTTTTTCTCTATTTCCGGTGAAAATGTATATTATTTTATTGTTTAAAAAATATGAAATACGTTATGTTAATGACGTAATTATTCAAGTTGATTTTACTAATTTTACAAGGTTATGACAATTTAAAAAAAAAAAATTTACATTTCATAGTCATTTTAAGTGGTAATATTAATGAAATAAAAAATTCCTTGATATTTAAGCTATTGTACAACAATCCAAGTTGAATGAATATGTAAAATAATTGTTATATGGTTTTTAATAAATGTTTATTAGCTTGAAAATTTTGATCATTTAATCTTTTTATATTTACTATTGTTTTAGTTATCGTGTTTAAAATGTAATGATCATTAATGGTGGAATGGAAAACCAATTAATTATGATTTTATATTCACCTACACCTTGAATGAAAATTAAAATTATTTAATTTTTCTCAAGAATACATTCATAAATTAATTCTAGGTGTTAATTTTCCTTTGAAGAAATTGAGGGTGTTTTATTTCAGAGGATTTAAAATATATCTAATAAATTTTTGATAACCAATGTTTTGACATTGATAGTATAATGCTCAGAATAAATTTATATTCCTCCGGTCTTTCTTAGCTTAGTTTTAATCATTTTCCTATTCTGCTAGTTTTATTTTAAACATTCAGTTGTTTGAATAATTAAAATGGAAAAAAAATTAATTACTTATGTATAATAAACCTTTTATTTTTGTTTGTTTACTATGTTCCCACCTTAAGAGAGGGGATCAATTATTGATAATTATGATCCTAATGCCAGGATTTGTAGATATGGACATCATTTCATTATTGTATTAGCATTCAGATACTGTTTCATTCATTATTCTGTGATATTTGATATAGAAATTTTTGAACACTTTTTATATTTAATTTAAATTTATTTGATTTAAATCTTATTAATTGTATTATATTAATATTAAAAATTAAAAACAGGATGATGATGCAATGTGACATCTCAATTCATTGAGTTTCAAATACCATTTAGACATTTTTTCATTGTAGAATTTTTTGAAATGAGTTTAGAAATGGTTTTTGTCTAATGTTAAATTATTTGTTTCTTATTTTTTGTTATTTACGTAAAAAGGAAATTTATATTATATTATTTTAATTAATATGCTTGTATAAAATTTAATAATGAGATTTTTCTATCTTTTGTTTTTTTTTTTAAAACAACTTCTGAAAGTTTTTGAAATCCTTTTCTTAAGTTGAAAGAATGCTATTCCTAGAAGTGTCCTTGATCTCCCTGCTATGAGCTACCCTCATCAGTCAAATGTTTAAAATGTTCTTTTTAATCAAAATTAATTTTACATTAAATTTAATTGAAAATATTATTATTGTATTCTTCATAGGATAGCTATTTGAATTTTTGTATCCCAATAGATCTATTTTATTATTATATTAATTATTCAGATGATATTTTGGAAAAAAGTTGATGTTTTGTTAAGCTACTTACTTTCCTTTGATTGTCTCACTCCTATTTTATTCATTATTCAATCTAAACTCGAGAAAAATAATTATGATGTTTTTTTCAAATCAGTTGTTATAGCTACTGTTTTTTTCTTATCACAACTTCCATATTTGTTATCTATATCTGTTAGTATCTATTCTTGAGCAAAGTTTATGAAAATGTTGCTGGACCCAAACATTTGAAAATTGATTTGACCCTGTCATATGTGAAGTTTTGGGTTCTGCGTATTACTTTTTAGCAATTCTTTTGCCTTATAATTGAAAAGTGATTGTCTGATATTTGTACTAGAATTTATGTTCATAGAAGTTCATTCGATGAGAGCTTTGATGACCTTATATTATCTAATAGATTTCACTGGTATTAAATAGGTTTCAATATTTAATGCTAATTATTTAAAACTGACTGTTATTTTTTGTATTATTCATTTTTAAAAATTGATTTATTTAAGATTTTATATTGGTTTTGAATATGTTCAATAAAACGTATTTTTTTATTCGAATATATCTGAATGGTCTAAGGATGATATTAGAAGAATATATATATATTTTATTGGCTTTTTGTATCTTATAACCATTGTTTTTTAAATTAGTTTACTTAAAGTGATTTCATATTTCATTTTATTTCATATTACTTCTACCTTAGGAAAGCTGAGAAAACTTCACTAGTTTTGATAAAGAAATATCTAGAAGGCTTAATTTCTTATATGACATTAAAAAAACCATTTCAAGGGGAGAGCTCCCGTATTGAGCCTTGAACCTTGGCAGTTTGATTATGAATTGTATTATAATCACTGAACAACTCATTTTACATCCCTTGAGATTTCCACAAAACAATTTTATGTATGACTTTTTTTTTTTAATAAACTATAAATAATTAAGGCATGAATAGTATCAATTTCACACCCATAGTAAATGTTAGCTAATATAAATTCATTTCACTTGAGAAGCTTGAAAATTTTGTTCTTGTCTTTTATTGTTTATATTTGTCGATTTCTTATTGAACCCTTTCTGTTGGTGACTTTTCTTAAGTTTCAGGGGTATATTTATCTAACTGAGCCAACATTACTTGGTCTTAATAGAGATAAACGAGAAGAGAGAAGAAACAATACATTTAATTTGGCCATAATTTTTAATGTAATAATTAAATAATTTATGAATTATTTAGTTAAATAGTAGTGCTTTTAATGACAAACCTTTAATTTAGTGAGAAGAAAATGTTTCTCATTACTTGTTGCCCAACAGGCATGAATGAAATGAGGCTGATGAGTTTGTTTCAAACCTTAATGAAATTAATTGTCTTATAAATTTCAGCAATGTTTAAAATAAAAGAAATGTTCAACAGATATAAAGTTATTTCAAACCTCTGGTGGTCCTGTGGTTGACATGTGTCATGCACTTTATTTTTTAGTTGTAATGGATACACATGAATTATTTTTGCTAATAAATCATTTCTATACTTTTATTTGAGCATCATTAAAGGTCTATAAAAAAAAAATTATTAATTCATACAAAGTATAAAACACTTAAACAAATAAACACTGAAGTTAAATAACAGTTATCTCATTCATTTTTAAAATATTTATTACATATCTATTTTTGACTGTTTTCTTATCTTCTCCGTTCTTCTACCTATAGTGGTGAAGGTATCTAATTCTTCGAGGACATCATGGAGGGCAATTGAATGCAAGTTCACCTCCTATGATCTATCGGAAGTTGTTCTATTCTTGATCTGAATTTCATCAGAAAAATTTGTCATCCAAAATGCATGAAAAAATGCATATATAAACAAAATATCAAGAATTATCCTCAGAGGTAATTCTCGATGAAACAGCTTTTGGTCAAGAAATGTTACTATTCAATTGAATTATTCATCATAAATTAATATGTAATATTATTTTTGAGTATGTAAATATAAAAAAAATAAATTAATTAATTAAACAAAAAATGTGCTTGACATAAAAATTGTAAGATATTGGCCGCGTAGTGACGTGACAACCAGTATAATTTGTATTAGCAAAAGGTGATTATCAAAGATATTCAAAAGGCTAATAAGTCCTCATTGCACTGAATAGATGAAGTCAAAGTAATTTGATAAAGGAGACTCAATGTCTGGGAAATGAAAATATTCCGGAAGATATAGAGCCATTAAGAGCTGAGGTGCCCCTCTTTCCAAAATATTTTATTGCTTGCATCTTCAAAAATAGTGCAAGCGAAAATTTAATTTAAAAAGTAGTGTCAATAAATATGGTAAGTTCTTTCGTTTGTTAACTGGTTTGAGAATTTTCATTTCGACAAATCCTGACCCGCCTTCGAAATGTGCCTGCCTCAAAAACTTTGATGTCGCAATTGGCTCCTCTCCCCTCTTCTCTTCTGCATCCCTTAATAAGAGGTAAATGGCACGTGGCGATTAAGAGAGAATTCTGAGGTCCGTTTAGTATATGGGAAACCAGACCTAGTATCCTTAGTGAAAAAAATCCCACTTCAGAGATGGTTCGGACATGTAAAAAGGCCTACTTATTAAAAAATTGGAGGAAACGATACAGAGGAATACCAAGAGTGAGATGGCTGGATGACGTCAAGAAGGACCTCAAGTTGCTTGGAGTAAGGATAATGGAGGACAAAAGCAGGAGATAGGAATGGCTGGTTTGAAGTCCTTTAGGAAGAAATTAAAGTATTTCGAAGGGGAGGAGTTACTAGGAAAACAACGGGGGATTAAGTAAGTGACACTTGTCTACCATGCACCCACTATAGGATTAAGTGAAAATAAATTATTTTAACTTTATACTTTCAGTTCAAAATAAGGAATAGCGTATATTTCACATCATAGATATTTTATGTAATTAACAAAGTTAATTGAGGATTTGAAGATGGTCTATTAGTTGTCGATATATCATCGAATTATAGCTTAAATAAACTATTAGATTTTTAGGATGAAAGGGTAGGAATCATTTTATCTTTCCATGGCCTTGTAGACTTATAAAAAACAAACGCTGCAAATGATTTCACAATGGTGTATTATCTCCAAACAATTATACATCTAAAGTAACATTACCTTCCGAGTTACAAAGAAAAAAAAAACAAAAGGTGATTCCAATTATTGGACTAAACTGTTTTTCTTTAATCATTAGTAATATGCTAAAAAAAAAAAATAGCATTAGTTCAGTAACACATTTAAAATTTAAAAACCAAACCAAGGATATAACATTTGGAGTAGAACACATATAAACAAACCAGAGACCATATCTTTGCTCCTAAATGTCCGATTTTAACGGGTTTTTTTTTGTATTTTAGGAAATTTCATAAACTTTTAAGAAACCGTATACAATAACAACAAAAAAGTAAAAACTTCTCGAGTTATTCGGAATTTAATTTTAACATCCCTCGTAACTTTTTTTCCAACTTCTTTTCGTTGAAGTATATTATATAGATAAATTTAAAGGGCGTCGAGAAAATGACTTTAGCGAAGTTTCATTGAAATCTGTTCATTCGTTTAGGAGCTACAGTCTATAGCAACGCAGGTTTTTCGGCCGCCATTTTGAAAGTTAAAGGCGGAGAGTAATGTCGATGAAGGAGGATCATCCTCGGGTGACCTCTGATTTTATATCAAAATTTGAAAAAAATTAGTCCAGTAGTTTCGGAGAAAATGCGCGGACGGCCGACGGACAAACAAATTTTTATTCGTTTTTCGAATTCTACCCATCAGTGTGGTCTAGACCTCAGTTCAGAGCGTATGATAAAAGTTCAGTCAGTTTATAGTTAGTGATTTTCGCAGTTTTTAGAAGGAGTTCGGTCATAATTTTTGGTTAGAACCAACTATTAATCGTGTTATATCCACAGACAGGAAAGATTCTTCAATACAACGCCGTTTCACGTCAGAAGAAGAAAGGAAAAATCATAATTTTAGTCGGCTTAAGGTATTTATTGCAGGCATTCTAGATAAGAATATAGGTGGGGAGCGCATGCGCATAAATAGGACTAGGTACTAGATATCTCAGTGTTTCCAGTGACGAGGTTGGGATAACGTCAATTTTTTTACCACGTTACTTACGTAATTTTTTTTTTTTCTCTTTCTTCTTTTCTCTCGCTTATCAAGATGGTTTTATGCCCAATCTGTAAACAGACCATAGCAAGAGAAGAAAAAAAAACAATGGCATGCACTGTCCCAACATGTCAAGCCATTTTCCATGGAAAATGTCTAAACGCAGACGAGAGTGAGTTTGAAGCACTGAGGGCATTACGAAAAAATTGGGAATGCCCGAAATGTGAAAAGGCACGGAAAAATATCCAACCGACAGACAAGTGTCTCAGCCCGCCAAGATCGGCGCCACAACAACAAACTGTCGACAGCACGTCACAACTGTTACTTGCTGCCATTAAAAATTTAACAGAAGAGGTCAAGGGATTAAAATTCTCCCTCGATGCCAATGCTAACGAGGTGAAAGAATTAAAAATATCTCTCGAAAAGCAAGCATCCATAACTTTTGAGAATGCGGCGAAATTAGACTCTATAGAGTCACTACTGGAGGCTCAAAATTCCAAGATTGACGGACTGGTCTTGGAAAACACGACTCTCAAGTCTCGGGTCTCGGAGCTCGAAATCAGGCTCAATAAAAGTGAGCAACTGCACCTTTCCAGGTCAATAGAAATAAGAGGAGTCCCAGTGAGATCTGGAGAGACCCCGATGGGCCTGGTTATGAGCGTGGGGGCGGGCCTGGGCCTTAGTCTAAAGGTGGAGGACATTGACTATGCAGAACGGATAAGAAACAGGCAAGACGATACACCTGGGCCGCTTGTGGTAAGGTTCGTCCGGCAGTCGCTTAGGGATGAGTTGATCCAGAGGCGAAAAGTCATTAGGGATTTTTCAACACGTCACCTCGGATGGCAAGAAAATGACGCCCACAAGATCTACCTGAGCGAAGCTATGTCCGTAACCAACAGACACCTGTACTGGCTGGCCCGGCAAAAGAGGTCTGCAGGAAAAATCAGGTACAGTTGGTTTAGCGCAGGCAAGGTGAAATGTCGACGAGACGATGGACAGCAGGTCGTCGTCATCAACTCACCATCAGATTTAGAAACGTTTGCTTGACATGCATATACATGTTACAACACTTTGAACAATTTTGTTTTTACTTTTTTATATCCCCAGTTTTATGTTTTTGTTGCGTTTGTTTTAATAATAGACTATGATAATAATTTCATTTTTGTTTATGAGAATATTTTAGGTCTGATCTGTCCAGAAACTCTAATTTGTGTATTTTTTTTCTTTTGCACAATAGGAATATGCTTTTCGTTAACTAAATTTTATATTTTTTGTTTACCATCCTTATTAATATCTAGGAGATCTTGCACACAATTGGCTCTAGCTGCTGTAGAAATATTCCTATCCTTAACTCCTTCTGTCCGTTTACCAAGCCACCCCTCCTTCTTCCATGACTAATATCCTTCTAACCTGCCACGTCAACGCTCAGTCACTCTTAGCCCATTTTGATGAATTTTACGACTTTTTTCTCCATAACTTCTACCATTTAATTGCCGTATCCGAAACCTGGTTGAAACCCACAATCCCGTCCTCCCAGATCCTTCTACCTAACTATACTCTCCTTCGTCATGACAGAGTAGATCGCACGGGTGGTGGAGTAGGTCTCTTTGTCCATGACAGTCTCAAATCCAAAATTCTTCACTGCTCTTCCATAACCGATTCTCCGCACGTTGAATACCTTTTCGCCGAAATCCTCACCACCTCATCTGCCATTCTGTTTGCTGTCATATATCGCCCTCCTAGAATTCCTTTCGATGAATCACTTGAGACTTTATTGTACAACTTAATCCCTTCCTACTCAAACATCATCCTCTCCGGTGACTTTAACACCAATTTACTGGCACCATCCTCTGATTATTCCTACCTAACAAACCTCTTTAATTCTCTCAGCCTTTACATAGTACCCTACAATCCAACCCATCATACTCAGTATTCAGAGTCCTGGCTCGATCTAATTATCCTGGATTCCTCAGACAAACTCCTTGCCGCATCTCAGCACCCGGTTCCGTTTCTATCTTCCCACGATCTTGTCCAGATCTCTTACAATGTCCCTGTTCCATCCTTTTCTCCCCGAACAATATCCTTCCGAAACCTAGATTATCTCACTCACGAAACATTGTCAGAAGGTCTTGACGATATCCAGTGGGATCCCATCTACTCCTCAAAATCCATAGACACCATGGTAGAAATCCTAACCACTCAACTTCACTCTATCCTCGACCGACATGCTCCTCTTATCACAAAAACCATCCGATATCCTCCAGCTCCTTGGCTTACCCCTGCTTTGAGGGAGTGTATGAGAGAAAGAGATGCTGCAAGGCGACGGTTTAAACGAACTCGACTTCCTGATGATTTTCTCTCCTACAAACAGCTTCGAAATAGCACTCAATCAGCAGTACGCCGTGCTAAATCCCGTTACTACCATCATTCCCTATCCAACTCTCCCAATACCAAGGCTACGTGGGCTATTCTTAGAAAACTGACCATTGGTAATACACCCCAGTCTCAGTCCAATTCCGTTTCTGCTGATAACCTCAACGCTCACTTTGTCTCCTGTCCTCTTGCATCCACATCTCCCACGTCCAGTCTGGCTCCTATGTTCTCTTCCTTTAATCCTGATCACTTCTTTCTTTCCCATATTACACCAGATGAGCTCCTTAAATCCATTCAGAAGTCCCATACCAATGATTACGGTCCCGACAACATCCCAGTCAGACTGATTAAAGCCGCATTGCCATCCATTCTTCCGATCCTTTATCATATATACAATTATTCTCTTCAAAATGCTACCTTCCCTACATCCTGGAAAACCGCCCTAGTACGCCCATTGAAGAAGACTTCAAACCCATCAGTTCCTAATGATTTCCGACCGATTTCCCTCCTTTCAAACCTCTCAAAACCATTAGAGCGGTTAGTCCAATCCCAGCTATCCCATTTTTTAGAGGACAATAATCTCCTAAATCCCTACCAGTCTGGATTCAGGCCTGGTTATTCTACTCAGTCTGCCCTAATCAAAATTTCCCAAGACCTTCACACAGCCATAGATCAGCAGAAACTAACCATCCTTATTCTCCTAGACTTCTCCAAAGCTTTTGATTCAGTAGACCACAACATCCTCCTAACCAAACTTAAAAATATCTCTTTTTCTTCTAGTTCCCTTAATTGGTTCCAATCCTTCCTAACCGGTCGCTCCCAGTACGTTGTAATTCCTAATAACCCACCATCAGAATCTCTACCTCTGACCAGAGGCGTCCCACAAGGCTCTTCCTTATCCCCCACCCTTTTCTCCATCTATATAAATGACCTCCCATCCTCTATCCTGCACTGTCATTACCACCTGTATGCCGACGACATTCAAATTTACCTCTCCTTTAATCCGACAGATATCTCAGATGCCACTCAAAAACTTCAGGAAGATATTGACAGAATAAGTGCTTGGGCAAACCTCAATAGGCTCACTCTGAACGCCGAGAAGACAAAAGCCATCTTGATCGGATCCCCTTCACTCCTCAAATCCTCCCCAGTATCTCCCAATCTCTTCCTGAACAACTCACCTATCTTATTCTACACCACCGTTAAAAACCTAGGTGTTACTTTCGATCAATCCCTATCCTGGAAACCTCACATCTCCCAAATTTCCCGTCGCACTATCTCCACCCTAAAACAGTTCAATCGTCTACGATATCTCCTTCCATATAAGTCCCGTCAACTCCTAGTTTCCTCCCTTGTTTTCCCCCACTTCGACTACGGCTGTATGGTGTACGGTGGACTCCCGGGAGATTCCGAGGCCAAACTTAAACGCCTAATGAATTGCGCACTACGATTTGTTTTCGGAATCTCAAGGGATACGCATATTACCCAGTATTACACTGAGTTGAGGTGGCTCTACCCATCCTATCGCCGTCAGTACTTCCTAGCCACCTTTCTGTACCAAATTATTAGAACCCATCGACCCTCCTACATTTTTCACAGCTTACAATTCAAATATTCCATCCAATCCCGTCCCACCAGATCTCGTACTTCCGACCTCTATCCTCCTCCTCACCGAACTGCTGCGTTTGACAAATCCTTTGCAATACAAGCCGCCTCCCTCTGGAATTCCATCCCACCTGATATTCCGCACGCTCAATCAGTTTCCTCGTTTAAACCACTCCTCTTTAAGCACCTACTCCTTTCTCAATCCGAATGATTGTGAAATATATCTCAGAGAAATATCTGAGCACCACCAGAGAGTACCTCAATTTATTAAGGTTATTTTAGTTTCTCATACATATGTACAATTTACTTGTTCTTTTTTTTTCTCTTTTCTGTATTTTTATCGTAAGTCAACTTTCATTGTAAATATACAATTCAATTGTAGCCACACAGACATATAATCTGTATTCATATTTTGTTCTTAAGGGACAACAGTCCCAGAATAATAAAACATTTTTTTCATTTTCATTTTCATTTTCATCTTGAAACGTGAAACCTCAAATTTTGAGAGGGGGTTATGTTTTTGAATTTTTTGGTCGATCAAAATGTTTCATTATTGAAAATAATAAACCAATATAAGAAAAAAGAACAATTAGAAAAATTAAATACAATATTGTCAACCTCAGAGAGCCTACCTATATCTTGTATATTTTGAGGACGTATAGAAATTTTATTTAAAGTTTAATTTTATTATAGAGTACTATTTTAATGCAATAATAAGCGGTATTACAAATTGTGATCTTTAAATACTTCAACTTCACCAGATCATGGCAGGGCTCATTTTCAATGATAAGCTGTTTTAGAATTTCCGGGTTCCTTTTACAACGGCAAATAGCTGATAAAGCGCACCTGCCGTCCGATGACGAGGTAAAAACGGACAACTACAAACTTAAATGGATATCAAGTTTGGCTTTTTTTTTCGACTTTCGAACATAATATGTATGAATAAGTGACATTATGACAAGAAAATTAAAAAGCAATTTTTTTAATAAATTAGTTTCGTCTAACCAAGTAGTCCACTTCAGTATATATATATATATATGTGTGTGTGTATATATATATATATAAATTGTAATGATGAAATAAAAATTTTTAATTTAATATTCATAGAAGCAGAAAAAAATCAAAGCTCCATCATCTAAGTCAGGGGTCTTCAAACCTTTTGGCCCACAGGCCACATAGAGACCTCGACTAAATCCCGCGGGCCACATTGAGACAGCTCCCAAGTCCCGCTGGCCATGGCTTGTGATGAAAAAACAACCTTATTCTATAAATGACACTTCAGCTGTGAAATGAACTCTCTAAGAGAGAAAAACCATACATTAAATGCTGTAGTGACCTCGTAATTTTCTAAATTTCATATTTTTAAATAGTTTTATTAGGTACTGAAAGAAATTCCACGCGGTCAAATGCAGCACGCGTGCCGGAGTTTAGAGACACCTTACTTTTATTACTCTTGATTAAAAAAACAAAAAAGTCATTAATGCTTACCTAAGGAAATTAAATAGAATTTTAAATCAATTGAAATGACTTGGCCGCATTAGTGACGGTACCGAGTGTTGCTAATAGAGCAGAAAATGTTAAGCTTGTAAAATTTTATAGCATAAGTTTTATACGCTACAGCGTATGCTGCATACTGTTGATAGCGGATATTTACCATATCCAAGCGTGTTGTGTTACTAAGTAACTTCACATTAAAGAATATTGGATGTTATTTACCCAGAGAAGTTTGTTCAGATCTCTGAATTTGCTTACATTAAATCGAGAAAAGTTTTATTTAATTGTGTTTCAATATTTATCAATTTTTAAAAATAACTGTATTCATTTCTCGCCTTTCAATCCGGCTCGAAGTTAGCCTTTATAACGCATTTACGATTTTCTCAACAATATTCTATTATTTATTGTTTTTTAGTTTTACCCATCCCTCAAAGAGTTACGATGACTTTTTTGGTGCATGAACTTCTACCAAAATCGAACGTGTGACTGTTTTCCTACCTTATTTTGTAATTAAGCATTAAGCGACAAGTGTATAATACAACCTGTACTACTACAACCCATAAAGGGTCTTGGGTTCAGTACTATTTAGGGAAAGCATTGTTTCTTGGTCTGATCACGCTCAACCGCCAGGTTTTTCCCCTTAATCAATTATTTTAATTAAGGGTACTCACTCTATAGAGGCTGGGTGTGCCCCAGGAATGTCTACCTACCCAGGGTCGCCTCACGGCCAATGAATCAGAAAAAATAATTATTGTGCCATGTGCCAGGATTCGAACCTGGGACCTTTAGCATTGGATGTGCAGTACCCTACCACTGAGCTCCCCCATTCCCTCACCGAATCAACTATAATCAATGGAAATGTTTGTTTTAAAAGTTTCCTACAGATTAACTCATGACGATTTTATATTTCTATTACAACTTTTATTTTTCCTTTTATGTATTCAAAATATATTAAATAAATAAATAGGTGTCATTTTCATAATGACCAAGTTCGATTACGAATTCTGGTTCTATATTCAATAATTACGAATGCCAAACTTTACTGAAAGAATCATAAAACAATTATTTAAATAAGGAATTAACGCCATCAAGTTTCTAAAGTTAATTATATTAAATTATAGGATTATAATAAAATTGTATTTCTTTGCTGTTCACATCACATGTTCTAAAAGCTCGTTTACCTAGAAGTGCGGTTGGATGGAACGTCATGTGTCATCAAAGAGACCATTTGAGTTGACCATGCATAAATCATGACCTGATCAGACACGGGGGTTTTAGTCCTATATCTCACTATAGCTCATGGTGTTAATTTTTTTTTACTATCATAAGCTATGATCTAGCTAAAATAGCTGACTCCCAAAAAGTTTTCAGTCATCTTTAGTCGTATAGTTCGAAAAATTACAACAGAAAGTTCTCATACGTATTCGAACTATACGACTAAAGATGACTGAAAACTTGAAAACAACTAAAAGGGAGGACATGTGGATTGGGATTGTCAGGGATTATACAAATCCTAGGATTTGACGTGAAGGCGAACCATTAGAGCTAGACAGTAAGTAACGTATTTATATTATTAAAAAGTAATGTAATTATATTATGAGTTAGTAAAATGAGGTCGAAAGAATGAAGGTCAATGGACTTTTATTTTCCCCCTTCCTCCCTTTAAGGCTGTCGGTTTTTTTTCCGGGCCAGAGGATGAGGACGAGGGATTAATGGCAGAGTTAAGAAACCCCACTGGCACCGATACGCGAACTCATACTTATTTTATTCCGTGCAGGTCAATGGGGCATAATGTAATTTATCAAGACAAGAAGTAGGGAGGCTATGTAGTAGGCTAGTTGAATCCGTGTTACTCACTGTTCTTCCTAATCGATCGATATTTGAAAAACCCTAATGAGCATTTAAGGAAGATGTGACTATAATGAAAGACAGTGACTATAATGAAAATCTTCTGAAGAATATTTTGTGAGTTTAAGTGGGGCTGTGACAGAAATGACATGATTCGTGAGGGTTTGTAAGGGGAAGGGGATACTCGATCAGCGTGTGGCATCCCTGAACAGCAGCAGCAGCTAAAATGGTCTGGACGCATCTGCATGCTAGACAGACGTCTTCGTAGCAAACCAGGTGGAACTACTCTGTCTACTTTGGAAAATTGGGCAGGGAGTGGATGCAGCATACTGGAGATGAGAAGTCCTACAACGTACAAATACCAGTGAGCTAATTGGACTGGAACATTTTTTGTTTGTTTTATTTTTAAAATTTTATACTCGCACGCTCAACGATTTTACAATATAATGTGTACTAACCGGTAAATAACACCATAATTAGAGAAAATACGAGGATTCCTTGGTTTTGTTTTTCCTGGCTCTATTTAAATCCTTAGTGTACACAATACAGATAACAATCCTTAGTTCAAACAGTAGGTCGAGTGTCACTAATTAAAATAGTTTTAATACAAGATGTTTCCATTTTAATATTAAATATTAGAAAATTAAATTTTTATCTTTTCTGATTTGCTCTACACTGCGTAAAATAAATCAACTTTTTTTTCGAATTCGTCGTAAACCTAAAGTAGGTGATATCTTGAAAACTTTCTACTTTTATATAAAAAAATCCTTTAGTGGGGGAAAGTATTGTGATAGTGAGCAATTTAGAATCAGAGTTTTAAATGGAAAATCATGTTTCAAGGTCCCCTGAGCGTATATCTAAACAGCATATCTCAAAATCTAAAATACGTGAAACTCTGAAATTACGTATTTTAGTTAGATAAACGCCTGCGATGTTATCGAAAGTGCTATTTTATATATCATTGATTTTCCTCATTTTTACATTTTTTTTCGAAAACGATTGTGATTATACTCATCATGTCGATTAAAATTAAACTTTATTATAATTGCTCTGTATTAAAAGGTAAGTTTTATCCTCACTGATATAATCTGTCAGGGTTTAAATGTCCAGTTTTCTAAATTTCATCCTCTAAAGTACCATTTATTTTGTTTATTAGAAATAAATAAAGGTCTCACGTTGTTACTAGTGATACTAAATGGACGAATACTAACTACGAAAGAATTTAACAGCGTAATAACCTAAAAATATGTATTGCACATAATCGTCATTATTTATGTTAACTGTCTCAGGTTTGTATTTAGAATTAAAGTAATATTCTAGGTTCATTAACTTGTAAAAAAAAATTGGTGCGCGTATCACACAACTTTCACTTACCAGTCTTGTTTCAGTACAAATAGGTATTTTCAGGCAAAGGGAAGTGAAAGTAAAAATTACAGAAGGTGCAAAATATTTAAAACAATTAATTACCGTCTGTTTTTCAGAGCCCTCTTATGTTTATGTTGTTTTTGACCACTGACCATAGCATTTTACGAATTTATATTTTAATTGTTCATTGATTATAATAAATAATTAAGTGCCATTAAATATTTTTAATCCGACAATGTACCACTGATAAAGAAGTCGCTATATTTATTCATATTTCATTGTAGGTATTTTTATTCGTTTCAATAGTTTATACACGTTATAATTGTTATATTGCTGTAATCTATAAAATTAAATATAATATAATACCAATACTAGTATTTATAAAAACTGCACACGTATATGTACAAATAATGTTGGAGCTCGTATTTTATTAAACACATATTACGTATGGAAACCTTTCTTATATTTCGCCTAAGATCGGATTTCTTCGTTTTCTGCATTACGATCCCTTATTTCTTCTTATTATAATTATTTATTCCTTTATTTGATTATAAAATTATTTTATATTGTATATTTAACGATTTTTCATAGCAAATTACAATATGTAATGGTTAGTTATTTTAAATTATGTCATCCCTGTAAGGGAATGCCAATGGGGATAAAACCTACATTATATTAAAAGCCGCTTAATTTCACACCGATTTAATAAATTTTAGCAAAATTGTTAGAGCTGTTTTCAAGAAAACTACAAATGGTGTAACATGGATGATATAAAGTGGCACTTTCGGTTAGCCAATTTTGAAGAAGACGTATATGAACATTGGGCATTTAAAGTCTGAAAAGTGACATCAATGGGGATAAGACCTAAATGATATTAAAAACCACTTAATTATACAATATTACACCGAGTTCAATAAAAATCGATAGAACCGTTCAGAAAATTGTAAAAATGTGTTTCAGCATTGATATAAAGTGGTACTTTCGGTTAGCTGATTTCAATGAAAACTTTTATGTCACATCTAAGACATGTATCTGTCTATAAGGCATATAATATCAGTTTCGTTTTTTAGCTAGACTGCTAACATACACAAACACATCATTTTGCGGGACTTGGTCATTTGGACTCTGGATACCTCAAAACGTGTATTTCCGTTGAAAATTCTGATTCGAAAATTTTCACGATCGCAAAACTTTTTCCTACTATTTATTACATACCTAGGTAAGTGAAAGTAAAAATAATTTCTAGTTAAGGTAGAGTGGTAAGTGAAAGCTGTGTGATACATCGCTGCAGTTTTGTTTTCTACTCATTATTATGGTTCCTTTACTTATAATATTATATATATTATATATGTGAAGGCCGGTGCATATTCGCACAGCATATTGTTATCAAATGCCAAATTAATAATAAAATAAAATAATGTAGCGTATCAAAAGATAAAGGAGTCAATTGTTACTTTATCGATAAATATAATCGACAAAGGAAACAATTAATTTAAATCTTCATTTTTGTTTGGAACCAACATATTTACAAATTTCAATAAGCTGTATCTTTGCGAAAAATTGTCCGATTTCAATGATTTTTTTTCCTTTTGTATACAATTTAGTAATGTTTTATATAATCATGGGAATAACCTAGGCAAAGTGTGTAATTTTTAAGTTATTCGCAAATAAAGTTTCTTTTCATCCATAACTAGTTTGCCTGAATTTTCGGGGTGATTGGACTATTTTGCCCGCCTGAAGGAGAAGGAAGCCTTCGAAATTGGTGGCTCAATCTTGAGATTTGGTGAAGAATTAACGATGATATGGCTTGCCGATCAAAAACACCATCGATAAATAATGTAAACTCCTCCTCTCTCGATCATAGAGACCTCAATTCGACGAAATGAGACATGTATCCAATGACAGTACTACAATTAACGTCAGGTTGTGTGGATGCGAACCCCATGCCTTGCGTTATCTCGAAAATAGTACGTTTTTAGGCTTAGAGCGCAGGATCCGGAGGAACTATCCGGGTCTTGCTGTACGCATCAAAATCTTCAAGGTCCAATTTGTCTCGCATCGATCTACAGACCTACCAGTATTGAAGTCGTTCCAGTATTGAAGCCTAGCAAAATGTTTGTATCGACTTTATTTATTTTAGAAAGAAAAACAAAAGTGGGGAATACGATTCGCTAACCCCACGTGCAATTCTGAATCCAACGGTACCCCATTCATGGTATTTGAGCTTGACAGGAGCTTATATTTGGTACAAAACCGATTTCGAGACTTACTGTAATAATATATGTGGGGATATATATATATATCTTATTCTAGGTATATATATATATATATATATATATATATATAATATATATATATATATATTATATATATATATATACATATATATCTATATTCTAGGTATATATATATATATATATATATATTATATATACATGATTGGTATGTTTTCTTTTCAATATATATCTTAAGTATTTGAAGGAAAACTGCTTACAATACATTTTTAAATAAGCTTCATCGTTTATAGCGCTCAATTATTGAAATAATGTAATTATTATTTACTTTTTTTGGAGCCGAATATGAATGAAATACAAAGATGGATTGTGAAGCGGCCCCTCTAGCCGTGTCCTTTGGGAGGCAGCCATTGGCTGGCTAATTAACGGCACTTTTAATTATAGCTCATCCTCAGATGGCTACGTTAGCTCACTGTCCTCCCAGAGCCGGTTGTGACGTTCTCGGTCGAGTAATCTTTTAACCGTTATCAGACCGAATTAATCTCATCATTAATTTTTAATTATTTTTTCGCGTTTTTGTTTTTTAAAATTTTTTATATGAAATATAACAATTGTTAGTTTTAGTAAAAATAAAAATTAGTAAGATTTCCGTTTTTTTCTATAGGAACCTATGGCCACTACTGGCTAACCTTTATATATATTAATTTAAATTATGAAATAGAGAAGGTACTACTGGGAAATATAGAAAAGAAAAACATAATTTATCATGAAAATTTAAAATTAAATAAAACTCATTTGAAATGAAAAACACAATTAAATATTATCAACGGAGTAAGATAGAATAAGAGAATCTTTGGACCTTTTATTTTTGTTTTGTTTAATCGCGGTAATTACATTGGATGAAAAAGAAAGAGACTATGTAAAGTAATGTTAAAATAGTCCTTGAAGGTCCATAAAAAAAATTGTTTTTACTGGAACAATAATACTTTTTGAGATATATTTTTTCATTATAGTATAATGGATGCATTATAGTATAAAAGAGTACATATTTTGTTAATGTAAGTAGTTTGATCTGATCACTCATGTGGGGCCTTTTGGTGGACGTTAGGTCTTAGACGACTTTTCGACCCTTGAGAGCCATGATTCGTGGATCTTGACTGATGTAAAAAAGGCCGATGCCGAATAACTCTGAAGGACAAAAACTGCCTACTTGGCTGTGGATAGTTTAGCTATCCGGTTTTTTCCTTCCACTGCCTTCGATTTCGAGATAAATATTGTTTATTATTTTTAAACCCCAGACATACAGAACGCTATCTACGATATCTTTATATAGGTCGCTGCGGAAGATCTGTGTGGCCGTGATTGTGGAATAGAGAGCAGCACAAGTAGATCGTTTCATTGATACAAATCGCGTTTTGTTGTGTGCCTTTTAAGTTCTATCACAGTATTTACCAGAATATTATAAGTTTACCTGATATCTCTTAATTAGATTTATTTTATTAAACAAAAAAGTAGAGCATCTTAATAGCTATTTATTGGGTTATCAACGTCATTCCTTGATATCCAGATTCAAATTTGACCTTTGTTTGGCTGAAAAACTGATATGATTACCATATCTACTTGAGATTCGGTAGTTGAATCATGACATTCCTACTGACAAAAATGGTTGAAACATGTTATCATAAGAGCGATGTGCCAAACTGCTTGACCTTATTTTGCTATGCATCGATTAGTGCCTCGTCGTCTCATAATTATTCCTGGTATTCAAT